AAACTGTAACAATATGTTCGAATAAACAGACCTGAGGCATGACCTCACCTTAACTTCAAAAAAAAAAAAAAAAAAAAGTAAGTGCTAATAGATTTTATTATAGTTTTCTTTGCTTTTGATCAAAATAATTGTTTGTAATTATAAAATAAATATTATAGTATTATATATATAATAAATATTAATGAAATTAATTAGAATTTTTTAATTACTAATAAATGTAATTATATAAAAATTCTAAGATATAGCAATCTAGTAAAGTGGTCAGATTGTCAACCTCCAAAGTGGTATATTGGGTGATTAAATCCTATTAACTGCGAAAATTTGGATAATCACCTATAGAATATTCATATTATGGCAACTGCTACTAATGATTAGGTTAGGATATCTGTAATGATAGTTACACCAGCATGACTGGCAGGTCATAAGGCATCTGTGCAATGTTGGAGTTATACAAAGGAATGCAAACTGACAAATCAGGTAGTGCAAACATTAGATAAGTTCTTGTGACTGTGTAAATCTATTGAAATTAGATAACAAGAAGTTTATTTAGGAAGACCCAAGTAGAAAGGTAGCTGGATCTTCAATAGCTCTATTGTAAAGGCTAGCTTAGTAAAATAGATACCAAGGTCTAGTACCAGTTGTAGTAGCCAGATAAGCAAGAACCTCTAGGTTAGGAGTCTTAGAAGTACTACCAACTAGGCTGTCAGAATGAACTAGAAGAAAGGATATTGGGCTGACCCGATATATTGATGAACTGGTCATAATCCTACATAGGCTATCTGGATTAAAGTTTGGTAAAAAGGCAAAAGAAAAGTCAGAGATATACTAAAGTACCAGAGTTATACTATAAAGTAGATGCTGAGGTCTAAGTAAACTCTACAAGAACATAGTGATTTAATGGTTAGCTCTGATTGCAAGTGTTGGTTCTGCCATAGCAATACCTAGATCAGCTGTAAAAATAAGTACAAAAGGCTCTGGAGGTTTACCTTAAGGATAAATTAGTTCTAAGGTTGAAATGATAATCTGGGTATCTGAATATAACTCAATGAGTTAATACAAATTACAGATTAAGAAGGTTTAAAGTAGAACACCCAAGCAGGGATGTTAGGTACAACAATTGATAAGGAACCTTTGGGCAAACTCCTTAAATAGGTAATATAGAAAAATTACACATGTAGCCAATTGTACTTTCTTCTGTAATAGTTCATTGACTCACAATACTGATAAATGATTAATAAAAGTCAAAAGACCAAAGAGATCACCTTAATACCAAAAAAAAAAAAAATTATATAAAACTTTTAATGCTAATTTCTGTTTTGATGATTGATTATTTTTTATTTTACAATAATAACATAAAAATTAAAGCATAAAATAATGAATATGAAATATTTACTTATTATTAAAATATACAAATAGTAATGCTAAGTAAAACATTTAATATTTATTGTTATAAATTATATTAATTTAATTACTTAAATAATCACATCAAACTATAATGTTACTAGTTTAAATTTTCCTATCTAATTATTAATAATTGCTCTTCTTTACTATATACAATTCAAATTTCAAGACCAAATTTCCTCTTGTTGCAGTTGTATTTGTTTAGCTGTAATTTAATTTTTTTTGTTATTAATGTATTTGTTTAATTGCAACATGTTTTTTTTAACATTATTCTAAACTCTAGGATAGGACCAGTGTGAACTAGTTTTCAACTAGTCCTGGACCGGACCAGACCAGACGCACCACTTAACATCCCTAATTAAAATAAACTTACGAATTTCAAATTACGCACTCTCTTCCATTTGTTTTTTTGCCAATTAATTTAGTTTGTTGTTTCACCAGTTTTGCTACCTTCCATTATTTTTTTTGGTAAAGTCGAACTAGGTTTCGCCTTACGCTGATGGTGAAACCTCTAGGTTTTGTCTAATAACTCTACTACGAACCATAATATTTCGGATGGCAGCTCAGATTTTCTTGATATAAGGGTACCCAAATTTTTTTTATTCAAAGCGAATTTTCATCCGAATCTTAAAAAAACCTTATTATGATTTCGGGGTAAGCTTCGGTGCAAAAATCACGATTGGCATAAAAGACTTGCACATTATCCGAAATTATTAACCAATAACCACCAAAATCATATTTTTCGGACTCTTTCTACTACAAATTGCCCATTTTTTTTAAATTGTATTTTGATTTATCTAATTATGATATCGATACGATGAGGTATTACTATTTAGATAGTGATCTGCATCAATAACGCGCGGGTTTCACCCTGTTGTGTTATAATTGTTTCATTATTAATTGATGGGCTACGTATTAAAATAAGTTTCATCCTTATTGTATATATGCTTTCGACTACGCATTTAGCGGTACTTATTACGAAAAAAGGTTAGAATGAAGAACTCAACGATTCAACATTGTTTCGTCACATGTTATATTTGGAGATTTCTATTGGTTGATCTATTAAAAAATTTTTTTGGCTTATTTGTATATTTTATTATACTTACAGTAATCAAAGGAATAAGAAGAAAAATGTAAAACAGAATCCTCTTGGATTTGTGGATTTACTTATACTTTCTACTATTGTTGAGTAGTTACTAATATCATAGACCACAATAATGCGGTTTATAGCCAAAATTTCAAGTATTTGTGTTAGAGGTATCATTATCATTTACGATGGATCTCAAATTTGCTCAATTTATAGTTAAGATCAGCCTGATTAAAGTTAGCATTGGTTATAATTAAAAGTCAGCGAAATATCTATCAGTGAAACGGGTGAATCCCATAACTCGTGCTAAATGGTATTATCGTTATAGATTTCTGGTTAATAGTGGCAAATATTAATAAACAAAAAATGACTTGCCAAATGACGAGATATCAATTACTTTGAAATAACAATACGTCACCGATTGGATCAGGATACCGATAATAAAACAAATCTTTTTAATAAAAATTAAGTGATTAATGTAAATTTTCGTGTTATTTTAATTAATCTATTATATTACAAGTCTAAGAAATGAATCAAAATATTGCAAATAATTTAAGTGTAACTGGTAATATAGTAAGTGTAAATAAAGGAGCATTATTAGAGAACCATCTTAAAATGTTGGTCATGATGGCAAGATGACGGAAAGCTCAACTTCTTCATTACTACTATTTCCCCTTCGTCGAACATTTTGACCATTTTCATCATTATTCAATCTATTTGGAGATGTTGCCCGACTAGGACTTGGTGACAAACGTCGAAACAACGCTGTAGGTAACGTCCGACTACGACTTAATACTGACAGAAATGATTTCTCTTTATCTTTGTTCGATGGTGATGTAAAAGTATTAGAGCGTAGACCTGTGGTGCGCTTTTGTTTTGGTTGATATACTGATCGCCGAAATCCTTCAAAAGCGCTTTCTTCACCAGAAAAAGCAAACCCTGTGAATGATTGACGTTTTCCTGAGTTCATATGGCAAAGCTGTTCCGTTGATCGTATGGAATCCTTGCGAGTTTTTTTTAATGAGGAGATCTTTGGTAATTTTGGTAATTTTGACATAGAACGTGGTTTTGTTGGCGTATCTAATGTTACTAGAGGAACGTTTGTAGAAGAATTGTCATTATGTATATCCTCGTCCATATCGCTATGTACGTCAACTACCGTGACACTATCATAATCATTTTCATCATTTAAAAATACGCCTGTGTTACCGAATATATTATCATCATTTTCTTCACATTCTCGGTTCTTTATTTTCTTGGTGTTATGAACTTGTTCGCGGACAATGTCCATATCGCTCGGCCAATATGTCTTATGAATATACTTTACTGCATATCGGGGTAAAATACTAAGTATGACACATAACCCAACCGTTAACCAGAAATCAATTTCAGTATATAATATAAGGTCCATTCTAAAGAATCCAATATACCAAAGAGAATACAATTCTACCCATGCATAAAATGAAAGGATACTAAGACTAATCACTACAAAACATAACCATGACCAATTCATAGTGTTCAAACCCACATACAAATTCGTGGTGACTACGACAGATCCAGCTACTAATGTTCCGAGATCACTTAAGCCATTGTTTTGCAATCCATTAGCATGAGATGTTCCATGTTGAAATAGACCGAAAGGAACAAAGAAACAAATGGCTGACTGATAAACGGAATCTAAAACATAAAGCCAAAATTTTGACTTTGTAAAATCTCGTTGTAATATACCTCGCTTATATAATGGAGGATTTTTTAGCGAAGTTTTAGCATCAACATCTTGATCAAAGGCACCTATAGATGTATATTAGTCTCATCAGTATTTATAATAATAATTGGCTACGACAATTTTTTGTATACGTACCAAGATACATAACAGGAAAAGCCGTGAAAGCAAGATTATAGAGTAAAATATATGTATAATCATATAAATATTGTGCAGTAAATCTGTGAATGATATTCGTTAAAGTTATATATTAAGATCGATATAATTTAAAAATTTTTATCGATATAGTTTAAATAGAGATTGGACCCGTTGAGAAAATCTTTACCGGGTTATCCGGGTAAATTATTATGTATTTCGGGTAATCATATAGCAATAATTTCTATCGGGTCCAATCCCTAAATTTAAAATTTCTGAACGATATAATTTAAAAATTCTGAAAGCTTACCCTGCCCAAATTTGATACCAAAACATTGCGATTGTCCAAACGATATTTTTATAGAAGAAGCAAGATATCATTTCAGCGATTCGGATATAAGACCAACGACCATGAACTAGTAAAAGTTTATCTAAGAATCGAAATTGGGCAAAAGCATAATCTGCTGCCATTACAGCTTGACGACCTTCTTCACCCGCAATCCCAATACCGACATTTGCTTCTTGGATCATACTCACATCGTTTGCACCTTCAGGCGTTAATTGTATAAAAAGTGTAAAAATAAATAACATGAAAAAATTTTGGTGACCATCTAAAGATTAACAGAACATTCGCATACCATCACCAATAGATAAAGTCATTACGTTCAATCCTTCCTTTACTAAAGCTACAACCTTTGCTTTTTGTAATGGACTAACACGACAGCATACAACACTATTACATCTTTTTCCGATATCCAATAGCAAATGTTTTAGAGATTGGTCCAAAGCGTATTTAAGAGTTTCACCATCAATTATTAGAGCATGTTTATTACTTTTGTTGCAAGCTTCAACGTTAGGTCCAAAGAACTTATCAATAGCTTCCTTTAATTGATTACGAGTACTTTCTTTATCTGATGCACTAATAATGATCAAAAGCATATCCTTCTGCAATAGATTGCATGAGAAACCAATATTGATAGCAGTTTCTGTTTTGTCGCCCGTAAGCACCCAAATTTTAATACCAGCAGTTGATAAAGTGGCTATACATTCTGGTACACCTTCTTGAAGGCGATCTTCGATAGCTGTTCCACCCATTAATACCAAAGAATGTTCTATTAATTCGCAAGCTTGCTCGATCTTTTCTTCACGATCATTAATGCTTGAAGAGGCTTCAGCATAATTCCGAGCCCAAACATTGTATTCTTCATCAGGTATTACACGATATGCTACGCAAAGTGTTCGAAGGCCTAAAATTATCAAAATTATAAATTTATTATAAAATTTTTATTATAACCTTTATTTAAAAATCTTTTTTGACTGTACCTTCATTAGCAAAATTTTGTAAATCCACCGTTGTATCTTCTTTCAATTGATCTTGATTACCTTCTTCTAATCTTTCATATATTACACTATCAGCACCTTTACATAAAAGGATCACACTACCTTCGGGTGACCTCAAAATAACAGACATTCGTTTTCTTGTACTATTGAATTCAAGTACATTTAATAATGTAAATTCCTTGCGTTCACCAAGTAACTCTATCGTTAGAGTATCTTGATGGCGTTCAATGAATACAAAGCCCACATCTCGAGCGCAACCAACCAACGCGGCTTCGTCAGGTGACTGTGCTTTGTATTCAATATTGTAAGGATTATTTTCATCGGGATGTTCAACAAGGACCGTATGACAAAGAGCAAGAGCAGAAAAAAAGTCCTGTATGGCTTTAGATTGTTTATCATCTGCTCTGAGATCACAAAACAGATTAGAGTCAATAAAAGTAAGATTTGATGACATATAAGGGTTATCAAATAGCATGGACATTTCTTTCAACATTAATTGCTTTTCTGCCACAAGATCAACCGCATTCGAAGAATTCTCATTATCAACTTGTTCTTGCAATTTAGCACTACGGGTGGTATCCGTCTCGCCTTTTCCATAAGGTACACCATTAATGGTACATTTACGAAATTCCATGACATTTTGTGTAAGGGTACCAGTTTTATCAGAAAATATGTATTCTATTTGACCCAAATCATCCGAAATATTCCATGTTTTGGGGGTACAAGGATAATCAAGTTTTTGATAATACATGTCGATATCAGAATGTATAAAATACGCCTTAAAATTATAATATAAATATTAGATACAAGGTTTTTAAATATATAGATATGTAAAGTAAATAAAATGAACTAACTTGAACAGTCTTGACTACTTCGATTGTAATATATAAAGAAATTGGTACAATATTTTGAAACAAAATCAGACTTGCCCTAAATAAGCAAAAAAATTATAGATAAATAAAAATGAATATTGGAATATTGATATTGATTAATTAAGCACTTTCCCTTACCAAAAAGTAAGAAAAGCACTCGACCACGCGGTGGAATTATTGTTTTTACTATGTTCAAAAATATCAGCTGAACTCTTAGGTTGAATAAAGAAAAGAGCATCTGCAATGGCAGATCCGAGACAGAGTAAAAATAAGATGACAAAGTTCATGGAGACCTGAGAAATAATAATAGTCATAAGTTAATAACAAAAGAAATATAACATAAGGATAATAAAAATAAAACTTTTAAGGAAATAAGCTAACGCAATTTTTTAATTGGGGGACAAATAACATCTTTTGATATTCTTGGAGGTGAACGAACGAACATACATGAAAATTTGTTTCAATCTCAATTCTACTCCTCTTACTGGGAGTATCGCCAGAATTCAACATAATTTTTGTATCAGTACCAGTAAATACAACGAGACCTATGGCCCATTGAGTATTTCGAAGTACACATCCACGCAAAAGAACATCATTTATAGATATTGGATCAATTATATTATTACCAGTGCCACCATGATCGGGACGATGTAATACACCGGTATAAGAATATAAATTAGAATGAGGTTGTTCAGATTCTACGTAAAAAGCGATATTTTCACAATCACTTTCAGTAGTAATTGAGATTGTTGAAGGGACACAATGACGAACTTTGAGATTTGTTTCACCGTCAAGATTTTTTGTTTCGACATAGCAAAGACCATCCGGTTCACTAGTGGATAATATTATCATATCAGCAGGAACAGCATCATTATTTTTGAGTTTTACAATATCACCAACTTTAACATCTTGCCAATGACTTTCAGTCCATATTGCACCAGTATGAGCAGTATAAGATACTTTATTATCTAAATTTTCACCTATTCGATAGCCTAACAAGTTAAAGAAACCATTCCATATCTTGATCAAAAATTGTTGACTCGACATATCATTGGCAGGTATGTTTACATTCCGCCAATTACGTAATAAAGTGGTTTTTGATCTATTTAGATTTTTATCTTGAGTATGACGTTTCCAGTCTTCAAAAACATCTTTTAGAGCGGTCATTAAAATAATTGAAATAAGGGGCATAGAAGCTATAAAAGGTTGAACCTCACTACCAATCATGGGAAAGAGTTGTAAAATAACCAAGAAAAGAAAATACATATTTGCTACCCTACGAAATTGTTCAAACAAATTTTTAGGTAAAAATGTCAATAAAGTATATTTTGAAGTACGAATTTTATTCGTGACATAACACTCTTTTGGTTCGCCATACTGGTCAAGCTCAGTAGCAGGTAAGGGTAAATTAACATATATACGACGTTTAGATATAGTTGGTATTGTAGAGGTAGATATCTTTCTCTGGTGTCCAGCATCACCATTCTTCTGGTTTTGTTGTTGCTTTCTTTCAAAGAAAGGCATTATTAAAAGTATTTATCTTTAAAAAAAGGATAAATAGGAGCACCGGTTCCGGAAAGGTAAGTTGTGGCTAAAAGGTTAGAAGAGTTTTAGTTGTGGTGCCATCAGATAAAAAGAGGGAATAAAGGAAAGAGAAAAAATTGGAAATTTGAATATGTAATTAAGGTAGAAACAAGGGAAGTGCAATTAAACGCTAAAGTTTTTTGATATATGGTACGTGTATGCAGCATCATGGTTTTAATATAGTTTACTGGTTCATATTGCACCTGATCAATGCACAACATTTTTGATATATTGCAAAACTGTAGATTACATAACGATAATGATTACTGAGGTCACGTATATGGTACATGATTAATTTGCTATTTTTAGAAAGTCCTCCTTGGACTTGAATTATATAATTGTATTAACAGTACAGGAGCCAATTTCTCGAACATTTGCAACCCTCGATTATTTGTAGTTAAATTGTGTAATATTGTAATTCATAATAATAAATATATCTATATATATAAATATCAGAAATTTTTAATGGAAGGGGCTTAATTATTCAGGTCTAGATTTATAGTAAACAGGTTTCGAAATATCCATAATCCCTTATTTCCATAATTCCAAACCAAAATTTTAGAACATTAACATTTTTAACAACTCCCTAGGAATTATAATTACGTCATCTAATTAGGCTTTATATGTACCTCGTATTTACGCGAAATAACTCCTCGGGATGTTATTCCAAGAATTAATTTAGCCAAAGATTTTAAAAAATAAAGTTATTTTTCACTTTTGTCTAAATTAATTCTTAGACTTCTTTAAATCGTGTCCCGAATAACACTTCCAAGTACATTTTGTAAATGATGTTATTTGAAATTTAAGATTTTTTTACTTTAATTAATATTCCAATTTTATTAATGAATATGAAATATCTGTAGATTCGGAGTCGAATCTCAAAAAAACTTGAGTAAATTAATTATACCAATATTAATTATGAAATATGTTAACCATAATTATTGTTACACTGTTTTAAAATATTTTTAGACCACCAGAATAGGCCGGCTCAGATCGTAGGCCATGAGAAAAGTGTCAGGGTTTGACATTAGGGTATGGAATGGGCCGAGCCGGGCTCAAATTAGCCATGATCGTTTTAACAGGAGCGACCGTTCAAATTCGTAGATTATTCCGATATAGTTACTAATTTTTTTATGCTACTTCTTTTAAAAGCTCGGGTAGCTTAACTTTCTGTGAAACGAGATTAAATTTAACGGATGAGTTAATGCTTTCGCTTCACCTTATAACATATTTGAATCCCTTACCTAACTTTTTTTTTTTTAATTATACAGTCACAGCCGTGGCAGATTAATTCTATAGTTACGTATAACAAAAAATTTAAGTAATGCTTGGATCATCCAATGAATATCTATTTCAATCCAGTGGATTTTTTTAAAATTATCTGAAAATCGTAGCGACGATGTTGTAATGATGGACCAATAAGTAGTTTAAAGTTATTACGTAGATGTTGATAAGAGAAAACAAGCAATTCTAAAAATAGTTTCGTATAAATTTTATAATAATATCGAGATATCGATATAGGGATGTTAATCGTCATTTGTAGAACAGTGGTTGATTCTGTAAATTATGTGAAATTACTATGAAATTATTCGATCATTTCGCAATAAATAAATACACAAAAAAATAGATATATGGCATTTACAAATATAAATAAATACATAAATAAAAAAAATAAATAAAATTGCAACTAATAAATAAATATAACAAACTATAATAAAAGAAATTATCATATAGTGTCATTTTAGAGAACTGAAATATATATTATTAACAGATTTCTTAGCATTATTTTTATTTAATTTTTTTTTTTAAGCAGTCACATTAATATTTTATTAAGATTCTTGGAATTATTTTTGCAATTATATAGATGCATCTAACAACTAAGTTTAGTATTATTTGATCATCCTAATAGTACCTAAGTGCAACCTGTTACATTACTTTAAGCTGAAGTAAGCTGCTTGTTTGATTACTTTATGTTTATAATAGAAGGGTCTTCACATTTTTACAACAAGTTCTAATATTGTTTTTTTATTTATTTTCAATTTTAATTTTTTTTTTTTTGTTTTCTTTTTTCTTTCTTTTATCTTTGTTAATTAGTTTTTTTTTCTTGTTTTGATTCTTTTTTTATTTGAATTTTTTTTTGTTTTGCCTATTATTTCTATTTCTTTTTTTTTTATCTGTTAATTTTTTTTAAACCTGCTTATAAAAAGTAACTTAAATTGTTATTGCTATTATATTTGTAAACTGTTGTCTTGTTTTTGTAATTAGAAGTTGTATTAATCTATTTTATTTTTCTTTAAAATTAAGTTTTTTATTAATATTTTCTTTAATTCTATTTTTTTTAACTAAAATTGTCTAAAAAGTACTATATATAATATATAAGGTAAAACTCATATTTTTTCTTCTTTTTTTAGTCTTTTTTATGTTATTGTTATAAATATTTTCTAAATTCTTTTTTACAAATTTGTTGGTTTTTTATATAATGCTAGATATGCTTAAGTTTTTTTAATTTTGGTTTAATAAACTTGGTATTCTGCTATTGTATATATATTTAACTTTCTTTTGTTAAGTTTCTTCAAGATCAAAATTTTATTTATTACATATTTTATAAATATGTTTTTTCTTATATTACTTCTTCTTATTATATAGTATATTCTTTTAGTTATTTTTAGTCTTTTTCAAAAATGTGTTCAGTTATAAATTATTACTTCTATCTTTAGTTCTAGATTCTTAATTACAGATATTTTTTTTTATTCTGCTTCTAATCTAATATTTGTTATTAATTTATATAAAAGTTTTGCTAATATATTGATTTATTTGTTTTTTACTTTAAATAATACTCTATTTTTTATAGCTAACTTCTTTTATATATATTATCTTTCTGCTTAATATTGCTTTTTTTGCAAAGCTATTAGTTTGTTATTTTATTTGTCTCTATTATTATTATTTTTTTAATATTAAAATAATCTCTTTAGTTATTTAACTTTTATTAATAATTTTTTTAATAATATGATTCTATAATTTACTACAAAAAGAGTGTACAATTGAATACATATATAATTTTTCTATATTACTTATTTAAAAAATCTACTCAAAGATTCTCTACTAATTGTCATATCTAACATCTCTGCTTAAATGTTCTATTTTAAACTCTTTGAACCTGCACTTGTATTAACATTACTAGGTTATATTCAGGTTATCATCTTAACTTTAGAATTATTTTATACTTGAAATAAACTTTTTGAAGTCTTTTGCATCTATTTTTATAATTAATTTAATATTGCTATAATAGAACCAACACTTGTAATCAGAATTATATTATTTAACTACTATACTCTTGTAGAGTTTATTTGAACTTCAGTATCTACTTTATAGCATATCTTTGGTATTTTAGTATAACTTGCCTTTTTATTAGACTTCTAATTTAAATAGCCTATATAAGACTATAATCAGTCTATTAGTATATCAGATTAGCTTAATTTTCTTTTCTTCTAGTTTGTTCTAGTAACCTGTTTAGTAGTAGTTCTGAGACTTCTAACTCAAAGATTCTTGCTTATTAGGATATTATAATATTGGTATTAGTTTTTTAAATCTAGTCTTTATAACAATATTATTATACTTACTATGTTTAAAACTTTTTTAGATCATATCTAATGTCTAAATATCTATATATCTAAAAATGTCTACAATATATTTAAGCTTTAAGAATTAATATATTAATTTTAAAAATATATGATTATATATTTTTTATTGTACTAAATATTTTTATTTAGAAAGTTAAAATAGTTTAACTTAATAAAATTTTAAATAAATTTAATTTATTTATTTGTTTAAAAATGTTCAAAAGTGTTCAAACTTATGTTTACAACTGTTTTATAACTGCTTTATAATAGTGTTATTAAAGATTTATGCTATCTTTCTACTTGGGTCTTCTCAAATAGACTTTTTGTTTTTTAATTTTAACAAATTTATGCAACTACAAGGACTTATTTAGAACTTGCATCACCTAATGCTAATTTGCATTTCTCTATATAACTAGTTATACAGATATCTTATAACTTATTAGTTATACTGATATAATTGTTATTACAGATATCTTAATCTAATTATTAGAAACAGTTATTGTAATATGAATATTATATAGATAATTATTTAAATTTTCATTATTAATAGGATTTGAACATTTAACTTATCACTTGAAAAGTTAACAACTTATTTATTTTACTAAGTTGTTATACTTTTTATTGTCTATATTATAATTTTTTATCTTAAACTATTTTATTTATATGTTTTTTGTTTTAATTAAATTAACTATTTTGACTATCTATAATACTTTTTTTTAAGAATACTGTTTTTATATATAGGGTCTTTGTTTTGAAAATGTCCTTATAGAATATAGTAAATCATATGATCCAAACTTGATTTTTAAGGCAAAGACCTCATATGTATTTTAAACCTCTACTAATGTTTTTTATTACAGCATTATTGTCTATAAATATTTTTAATTTTTTCTTTTTAGTATTATCAAAATTGTTATTTATATTACTATTATCTTAACTGTTATTAATGTTAATTATTTTTTTATTTCTAATATTATCTTTTCTTTTAATTAATTTTGTATTTTACTCATTTGTATCCATCTTATATTCATATTTCTACTTGTTATTTCTTCTTTATTCTTTATATTTGCTACTTCATCTATATACTATATATTGTGTATTTGTTTACTTCTTATTATATTTCTTTTTAAAACTTTTACTATTTTTTAAATAATATTTTCTTTTAGCTTTTGTCTTTTGGTTAACTTTATTTTTATTCTTCTAGTATTATAAGTTCTATTAACTTTATTTTTTTTTAACTTTTTTGCTCTTATATTTTTTATCAATTAGTTTATTATTATCTTGATTATATTGCTATTTTTTCTTATTAATATATTTGAAATT